ATCATTATCTTCCTATGCAGGCAATTGCTCTATCCCTGAAAGATTCAGCAGGGTTTTTGGATGTGCCAACCAGCGTGCCTTCTCTAAGTCCTGGAGCACATGCAGTTGATAAAATAAGTAGTCATAAAGAAAGAAATTCCAATAGTCAAGACGATGTTGAAAAGAGAAAGAGGAAAAAAATGGTTTGTGTTGCCCAGGATTTGTGGTTTTATTTAACATTCTCTTCCTTGCTCATACATTTTTTTTTTATCCACTCAGGGGAAGCCGATAAATAGCCGAGTGCAAATGACTCTAGATGAAATGGTTATACACTTCTTTCACTTTGATGGTAATGACTAATGAGAAGTTTACTTATGTGATTTTTGCATGTTCCTAAATATATTATACTTCTAATTAAGCGCAAGAATAGATTGGGTGAATAGAAATTACATGATATGGAAACCTGTACCAGCTTATCACCTGTTGTGGTGTCATTGTTGATTTTCCATTGCCCTACCTAAGTTCAATTTGCTCGTCAAATGCAACTTAGGAAGATGGCTTCTCAGTTCTCAGCTAAGAATAATTAGTGTTAGAGGTTTACATCCATGTATCCAACAAGGAGATTTTTCTTCTTCACAATTAGCAAATAGCATAAAAGTGATAAATAATTTTACCTTGACATTCCTTACAGCCTTTCCAAAAAGTTGTGTATGATTGGTCCTCAGTAGTATTGCAAATTTGATAATAGACTTGTTAAAATACCTACATATGATCACAAGGTTATTTTAATTTGTTATATTGTGATGTCTGATCATTGATGAGTTCAAATATTGTATTGCAGAAGTAGGCAAAGGGAACATAACTCTCAGAGATATACAGAGAGTAGCTACAGCACATGATTTCACGTGGTCAGAGAAGGAGATTTCGGACATGATATACTGCTTTGATAGTGATGGAGATGGGAAGGCTAGTACAACTGACCCATTTATACTTTTTATGCCTCGTTGTATGTTTGAATTATGAAGTAAAAAATTAGGGTCTAAAGATTACCTCCGAATGATGTTGTGTCAGCTAATAAATTCGCGTATAATGTTTTTGCTGCTCATTAGAATATTGACCTAAGAAATCGACATGAGATTGTGATATAACAAGTGATTGAAATACTCAAAACATTTTGGTAAATGGTTGAAAATTGGAAAACTGTTTGCAGAGCCGAGCACTTTGATAGTTTGACAGTAAATGTAGTGCTGTCCTTTGTAATTTTGTTGTCATTTTTCTGTACACTACTATCTTTTTGTATGAATATGCCGAAGGAGTTAGTGTGACCTTGTATAGGAAGTCATGACTTTTTGTCGATATATCAATGCAAAGAGTTCCTCTGAGTGTTCGTACAAGATGCTCAAAGCTTTAGGAATGGGATGGATTTGCTGCATCAGACCATCCAAAATCTCAACACGACTTCTCAATTGATGAGAATATTATATTTTTGTCCACTTATGCTTTAGCATGAACAATTTGCATTCTGGCTAATTTGTCTGACTTTTTAGTTCTACATACACGAGTTACCTATTTCTCCAAACTCTAGACTCATTTATCGTTTATAATCATTTGCTAGAATTTCCGTTTTTGGAGTATAAGATTCTGTCCGTGTTTGTTCACAATAATTTTAAGTCATTTAGATGGTTCCCATGTCTCATAATATTCGTTAGATAATGAGCATTTTTCGTTTTTATTTATATCTTTAGTTTGTTCTTAACATGTAAATGGATTTTCAGCTAAACCTTGATGATTTCCGAAAGATTGTTGGTCGATGCAACATGATAAAAGATTCGGACAATGGTGCAAGGCGTGAGGCATGACAAGACAACGTGATATATTCCTGGTATGATATCTAGCAGCTGATGTTACAATACGTCGTATTGAGCTTCTAATGGTCATTGCTAAGCCCATAAAAGATACATAAGAGAAAGAAATGGAAAAATGGGATGGAAATCGACGGTTAAAATAAGATCCAGATTCTTTTATTAGATGAACTTATAAACTTCTTCTAGTTTGAATAGATACTCTTTTAAATCTAAATGCTTTCAATATTTTCTTACCTCTTTCCTGATCCTGGCCTGCTTCTATTCAAGCTATGCATTTTCTGTTTTTGATCACATAAATAGGAATATGTTTTCTTCATACGCTGAATAGTACATTGACCACGATTTTATCTGCTTTTCTTCTTTGTTTGTAACTGTAAAGTTTATCATTCCAAACGAGTCCTTACTCTGTTGTCTTGAGTGACGCCTTCATACTTTTGTCTCATTGGCTGACAGGTTATATATTTTGGGCACATGCTGTCTTACTCATCTCCCAGTTGCCACGTTACAAGACCCTCCAAAGCAATCAAGCTGCAAGCCTTGTGACTTAAATCTTGAAGCCAAGGATCGTGAAGAATTCTATACCAATTGGCTTGTTGTATAACTCTTCATTTGGTCTGGATTAACCTGTCAGTTTGAGCTTATTTCTCCTGTGTTAATGTCTTTCCCCTAAAAACTTGTAGCAAATAAAATAGTATTTATTGTTGATGATGACCCAACGGAAACCTAGGTCTCGTAATTCTTTAGAATAATGCTATTTAATACCATTGGTGCTTAAAAACCATTCTACAAGGCAAGGAAGCCCACCTAGTTTTGTCCAATAAATTATAATGTATTTATAATTTGTTAAAGAAGTTTAAGTGGATTCTATTGAGCTAGCCTCGCAACTTTGGAGCTTCTCGATCAAGGTGAAATGAAGCTAGCTTTTCAATAAGAAATATGGCAAAGAAAACAAACTTCCACAAGATAATAGTATATCTTTGTAAGTTACAGAGAGAAGCAAGTTAAAAGCAATTAGTCACACAATGAATGCTTTTAGAGCCTCACAAAGCCCCATTAAAAACCTAGTTCTTAAAAGGTTTAAAAAAAGAAGAAACTAAAATAGAACACACAGCTCTTCCCAATCAGTCATGCATATGTCCTCGACGTCCTACACTTTTTTAACAGCTGGAGCAAGAAATATAGCAGAAATGCAGATCAAGATCCATTGATCATGTTTTCTTCAACAGATATCCCAACAGCATGCCAACCAAGCCAACAATAATAACGTATAAAAATGGGATACCACCTCGGTTTCTGCTACTTCCCCGCCTCAAGATCTCCTGCATAATATAAGCTCATGAATAGTTGAATGATTAAGTTCTGTCATAATGTCACACCAGCATTTTTTAGGATTCCAATAAAGAATATGGAGAAAGTTATTCTTCGATGGCATCAACCCACGTTCCATTATGGAAAGTTGGGGATTCAGCCATCTAATGCAGTATTTGGGCGACTGACGGAGCTTGGTGATGAGAGAACCACCCTCAACCCACCACACCCTGCCCCATGCGAAGTAAGGACAAAGAAGAATAGGTGAGATCAAATAACGAATGAATACATGACGGAGGTAGAAAGTGCAAACTTTGTTTACAACCATTACATCTGTACAATTATCTCACTTGAAATGACTAACACAAGGTAGGCCAACTCCTCTACTTAAAGCTAAATTACCATTTTCAGAAATTTAGAAGTTATATTAATTTTTCAATTTCAGCCTTCTGAGCTAAATTAATATGCCATGAAACATTGCCACCCTTGAGTGCAAGCCATGCGTTGCTTTAACAGCCCTCTTGGATGGAAACATCTAAAGGGACAAACTCGCCACAAAAATTGAGGGCCGGGGCCACATTGGCCAAGAAACTATAGGAACCCTAAATACACATTTACAAATAGCTTACAGGTTCTAGGGCAATTTTACCTTTTCTAAATGTCATTGTGGATACAATAGAAGGTGATCACAAAATAGGCTTACCAGTTCTTGTTGAAGCTTGTTATTTTGCTGAATAACTGAATTTTTCTCTTCGGTCAGCTTAGACACGAGAGCCTTAACCTGCATTTGAAAAACAAATTGCTTATCATATGGCAGCGACCTCCACATATAAAATAATCTTTTCTACGGATGAGCTCCAGGACTCATCAAAAATACGGGTAGAATGACTAATCATACCCGGGGTTAAAAACTCAAAAAGTACACGAAGACCCATTAAATTTAACAGAAACCAGAAACGAACAAATTAAAGGACACAAACATTGTTTTAGATACATCTGCAAGGCATCTCAATTTATGCAGACAACCTGAAAATGTTTATACTGAATTTTCGCATATCATAATAATTTAGAAAAATTCATCTCCTGTTCAGTTCACTATTAATGAGATTTTCATCAAGAATAAAGAAAGAATGATACAAGAGTTTTAGCATGCGAGGCATCGTATAGAACAAAACCAGCTAGTCAAAGGAGTTTTAAAGCTAAACTACGATGACATCAAGTTTCTATTACTGACCTCCTTCGGAAATAGAACATGAATCAGGAAAACAGAGAAAAAACAAAAATAGAACGAAAGCCAAAGTGAGCATTCAAAAAGCCTAGAAGCAGCAGCAGAAATATCAAACCACCACCAACATTAAAGGTGCAAAGCATTTGCTACACCCCCATTTTATTAATTTAAAGAAGCTACTAATAGTGTTGCAAAATATAATGGAGGAACAACCACGCCAATGATAAGCTAAGCCTGCTCCAAGTGAACTTGCACAAAATACCTCCTATATCATTAACAACTAAACGATCCCTAGTTAACCCATTTCAAGACACTAAAATCTCAGGTGTATATTCCGCAACTGTTAAAATAAAACATTTTCCCCTCATTCAATTGAATGTTTCCTTGCACATGCAAAATGATACTTCCATCAAACCATGGTACGACGGTTGATAGGAATAATTCCTCGCATATTGATTTTTATAGGAATATATGCAAAGTGGGGTTTATGAACTACTTCATCAGAGTATGTTTGTTTGGCAAAGCTATTCTTTTATAATAGTGGGGTCAACATCATTCTTATCCACACATTTTGGAGGACCCACGACTTTTACCCACTTACTGATCACGTATTACGTAGGATTGTAGCTTCTACACACTACCAAACAAGCACATATGAATAGATCCAGTACTAGAGAAAAGAACATCTAAACCAATTGGACCAAAATCAAAGCAACAATTTGCTTTCTTATCAGCTTGGTCCCACGTATTGCAGAGCAAAATCCATATGCCCAACTTATAAGCCAGACAAGTTGGGAATTTCAAGCTTATTGACTTACAAGCCGTGTTCATGGGTTTTGATCACAAAATATGTGCGACCCTGGCTCATTAGAAAGCAACTTTGCTAAAAATGCTCATATAACCATCTAAGAGTAAACAAAAAAAGAAATCTAAGCCAAATAGTTGCAAATTGGCCACCAATAGATGAAGCCGGGGCAATAGAATATAAGATAAAGCATGCTATCAACTATCGAAAGCTTCATAGGTTCTAAGAAAGTAGGATATAACCTCTGTTGTGTTCTCCTTAGGCTCAACATATGCTCTTGAGAACTGCAACAAAAATTTAAAGAAAAAAAGTATTTTCATATTACCCTTGATTTATATATTGTATTGGAGTGCAAAAAGAACACAACTTTTGCAGTGAAATATCACGTCACCCCAAAACTCACAGTTTTATGTTCAGAAGTTTGATTTATTGTCCCATTGTCCGATACTGAAGCCCTGGGTGAGGAGCCTTCCTCTGATCCCTCTCGCACTGGTGAAGGTGGCCGTGGGGGTGGAACATAGACAACTCTCAACTTGCTTTCTTCAACACGATTCCCGGATTCTCTGTTGAACTGAAATCCAAATAGCATGTGTGAACCTTACCTCTTTTACTTGATAAAAACCAAATAGCACGTGTAAACCTTACCATTTTTTACTTGATATTTTAAAACTCAATTATTCTATTCTATAGTAAATGCTAAATAACTAGTATAAGTACTATGTAATTACCATTTCAGGAGTAATGTCCTTAGTTGTCGTTCCTGGGCTAACAACTGCAGTCTGGAGGAGGAATTTATCCCTGCATTGCATGTCTTCTGGAGACTCCTTTTGTGCTTGCATTGTGACTGGACAAATATAGTAATTTAAAAATCAGCCATCAATACTATGCACACCAAGCCTACACAAATCGATTAAATCACATGCATTCCTTTTTCCTTTTCCAAAATAATTATAACTCAGCAAAAATGAAAATTAGTCAAGCATATAATCCCAGAAAAGTATGCCAAAGAGATGAAGGGGGAGAGATAGAGAAAGAAAAGATAAGACCTATGACATCACAAGTAGAGTGAGGCAACACCACCCCAGTATTCGGCCGCACACAATACTTCTTCGGATTCGTGGTCTTCACCTGATAATTCAAAAACATAATTATCAAAAATCAGATTTTGATATCTCCTAGGGTACAAGCAAACAATGCCCACGTGTTGGTTCGAATTCATGTATAAGTGTGTGTGTTTTTAATGAATAAAGTTATTACCTTGAATGCGACATAACTATCCGTTCTGTTGGTTAGTTGCATGGAACATGAAATCTGCTTCTTCAATTCAACTTTTCCAAAACACAGAACAAACAAGTTTAATAAAAAACGCCAAAATCAGGGAAAGAAAACTAAAAGGCGGATCTAGGAAACAAAAACAAATTAAACCCCCCAAAAATGATTTTTCTAGAAGTTCGCATCAACAAAAGTCTAAAACAAAAATACACAGCTGTTCCGGAGAGAGGGACAGAGAGTTACATGGAAATTGAAGTTCTAGGGGTTCGATGCGGAGAAGCTCGCCGTTGCTCATTTCTTACCGGGATCGCGTAATTATTTGCCGGAAAAATTGATTGTAAGAAAGTTTCCGGCAAAAATTGAGCGGTTTTCCGGTGCGGCGATAGATTTAACAATGGTTTCACGCCAAAAGGGTAAGATATTTTGAGATCTGACGGTTCCAACTAATTGAAATTTTTGGTTTGTAGAGAGAGACGAGAGAGAAAGGTAGTGAAGATAAATAAAGTAGAAACTCGAAAGTGCAGAAGCTCTCAGCGTCTTCGATTTGGTTTGGGTCGATTTCGATTTTAATTCGAAATCAAAATTAAATTAGTGAATTTGGATGAATTTCAATGGAAACTAATCCACTTTTAACTCTTAAATTGAATCAAACTCGATTTGATTAGTCAGTTTGAACTTTTAATTCAAATTGAATTTATTTTTTTAAAAAGTGGAAACTACACCAAATCAGAATTTTCAAGATTCAACTTCAAAAATCAAATTTAAAGTTTTTATATACAAAAATCAGATTATATTATTAAAAATATTAGTCCTTGTTTTATAGGAATTTTGATAATTAATTTTTTGACCATTAGAGATAAAATAAGCCCTAATTGTAAGAAAATAATTTAAAAATAACAGTTAAAATAGTGAAATAATGGTCAAAAAATTTATTATAATTGACTTTTAAATTGTATCAAACAAGCTTATAATATTACAAAAATTAATTTTTTTTTTACATATACACCCAACTATGATCTACTCTTCCAAACCTTAATTATTTCCCAATTTATTATTTCTCTCTCAGGCACCCATCCATTCTCTCCTCCTCCCATTTCTCTCTACCCTCTTTCTCCAAGAATTGCCCACAGTCAACAGTCGTTGTTGCCGCCGGGCCAACCGGAATACATCTCCCATTGATTTGAAATCTCATAGCATCTATTTTTCCACTCTCTATACCAACGCCCCTTCCATACCATGTTCCTCTCCCATCTCTCTCTACCCTCTCTCTCCGAAAATTGCATCGTCGTGTCGTTGTTGCGTCGCCACCATGCCTACCGCAATGTGTCACCCTTCACAAATCGACGTGGTAAAGATGATCTTTTTTTTAATTTTTTTTTTGGTTGTTGGATGGGTGTTGGTGGTTTTTTGGAGTTGTTGGGTGAGGCGGCGACGGCGATGGGGCGACGACGAAGCAATGGAGTGGGATGAATAGTGTTTGTAATAAATTATTTGAGTATTGTAACTAATAAATTGGTTTATTTGTGACCAAAAAGAATGGGTTTCTGTCAGGAGGTGGTGGTGGCATTATTGGTGACAGTGGTGAGATGGTGGTCGCAAGTATTGGTGGTGGTTACAAATTATTTGGTTAACTATGACCGTTAAATCGGTTAATTTATGATCAATACACAATATGTGACCAATGAAAACGATAAATTGTAACCAATAAATAATGTGTTACTTAAAAAATTGTTAACTTGTAACCGATAATTTGGTGATTTGTGACTATACAATAAGTTCGATAAATAAATTGTGACTTATAAATTTTTGATTTATGATCGATGAACAAATTGTAACCTATAAATTTTTTGAATTGTGATTGTAAAATAATTTGTGACATATAAAGATTATGATTTATGATCGAAAAATAATATGTGACTAACTAAATTCTTAATTTGTGACCAAATTGGATATATATGTGACCTTAATATATTTAATTAATTAAATATATAATTAATTAATTAAATCATGAATAAAATTTAATAAATATCTGATTTTTGAATTTGAAACCTTCGTTCTTAGTTTTGAAATGGATGATACTTAACCTTTTAGTTATGAATTTTCCTCTCAATTTTTTTTTCGAATATTGGGCCCATTTATATTATAAAAACTAAAATAACTAAATAATTTTATATTATAAGAACTATTAACTAACAAATAAAATTAGATTAATAAAGAAAGATACTAATATAAACATAATGAACTTGTGAAAGGAAATTTTTAGTATTATTACTTACCGATAACATCATTGATGGAGGGAATCGAGATATAGTTATGAGATTAGAGTTTATATTTATATTTTTCTTAAATTAAAAAAAATGGTTCGATTAACTAACAATTTGAGATTTCAAATCATAACTGAACGGACCTACTATATTTTTATTTAAAAGAAAATCAAACCAAACAATTATCTGTGTCAAACCGACCCAAATTGACCCAAGTTGATTTGATTTGATTGGTTTAATCGATTTTTTTACCCAAGCAAGTCCAAAATATCACTATTGGGAAAATTTCAATGGAAGTCACCCAGCTTTATATATATAAGATTGATGCAATTCATTATTAATTGTGATGAACACGCGTCTATGTGATAATTTTTTATTAACTCATAATGTTGAGATGCACTATTTATTGGACAATGTAACAGTGATTACATTGTCACAACTAACATAGTTTAGGTGGCAACCCTTGTTTTAAAGGAGAAAAAAGATAGGGTCTAAACACCGAGTGAGAAGAAGGCTCCTACATATGGAAAATGTGCGAAAAAAGCGACCAATCCTACTTTGAATGCCTTTAAGGTGTACATGTGCGCCAAACTGTACAATTAATGCGAGCTTAAGCATAGAAGGTATATTGGACTTGTAAAATTTGAGGTTCGACCTTATTACATCTTACACCTTTTAAAACCTTGCAGATGACAGTAAATCATAAATTTTTTAAATGTAAGAATTTGAGGCACATTAATTGGACTTATTCCTACATTCAACACCCTGAGTAATATCACATGTTAAATACAAGAATTAAGTTACTTGTATATTTCATTTGTATATCGCGATTCACATTCCATGATGAGTAAAAATCGAGGTCACCGATTGTTTAAGTTGATGTTAAAATCAAGAACTTTACTATATGTACATCAATGATTACATTTCACCGATCAATTACATAATGCCACTTTGTATATTATGTAACCAAGGCATGTAACATTTGATATGCAAGTAGAATAACCCTTGAACCAATGACAAAATTGTGTGCCACATCACAAAATATCAACCATGATGTCAATCAGAATGTAAGTCTAACAAAAGTGTAAATTCAAACGTGCTAGATACTTTCCTCAATAATCTCTTATATAAAATGCAGAAGTATAAGCAAAAGCCAAACTGACCCTTAATATTGGACTCACTCAGTTACATAAATAGTTGAACTGAAGTCGAACCAGTGATAAACTACATATTAAAATATAAATAATTTTTTTTAGACGAACAAACTATTCCATGAGTGAATCGGCGAGTTTGTGGGTTGTCTTAAAATGTTTTCACTTTTTTTTTTTTTTTGACCTTTTACGTATAATCACGCTAGTTTTCGAATTGGTCATTAGTTTTCCCTGATTTTACAGAGTGGTTAAAATAAAACAAGTTAATAATGATAGAATGTGAAATAATAATAATAATAAATTGAACTTGGACGATTTGCAGTTGCGTGAAAATCTAATCCTATATTTGGCTCATGTTTATAAATATTCAAGTGATTTTAGATTCATACATTTTAATGAATGTACAATTATTATTCTTGCATTCGTAATTTATTTTATTTATTTATAATTTAAACTATTTATAAATACTTCCAAATATATTTTCCAATCTCAGTGGCATGGGTTTGTCATGCCATTTTTGCTCAAATGGGAGAAAACAGTAGGAAACGTGAAAGAGAGAGAGAGTATTGATTTATCTACACTTTCTACTAGGGATAAACACGAGTTGGTTGGAGCGATTTATGATAAATTTTCAAATCAAACAATATAATGTGGTTTAAAATTTTTCCAAACCAAAACAAGCTATTTCAATTTCTAAACCAAACCACCTTTTCAGTTTTGGTTCGATTTAAAATCACGTAAAATCATAAATATTAGCCTAAAATTTCACGTAAAAATTATTAGTATCGTTACAAATATTACAAACAAAAGTTCTACACTTATGATCATTACAATATAAACAACTTGATAGAAACAGTTTAGTTTTAACCTCTTAGTCGATACTAATTAGCGCAACATCTCCGATTGTAACACATAATTCATTCTATGCATAAATATAAGAATATATCGAATGTATTTATTAATTATAAGTAAAAAATATATAAAGCAATTAATAAAAGAAAATGAATACAAAGATCAATTATGATATTACTTTCTATAATTTTTTCTGAATCATCCAATACTTTTATCTCATTTAAATATATAAATCACTATACATTCTTTGTTAGAATGCAACCAGTTTTTTTTTTCTTTTCTTTTCTTTTTTCTTCAAATCACTGCATCAACAATCTTTGAATCAATAAACTCAAAGAATCAAGAATCCAACAACTAGTAGAGAATACTTACTCGGAAACAATCATGAATACTTGAATAGCTAGCATATCTTTACCAATTTGGAAGACAATTTGTACTTATTTACATTCAATTTTAATCAAAATAATATGTCAAAAGTTTAATTGGACAAATCTTCAAAACGGCCATTCAAGCAATCCAATCATTCTAACAATTAATAGTAAAATCTAGTAACTAAGAGTGTGTTTGATTACATTTATTTTCTATGGAAAATATAAGTTTTCCATCCAAATTTTCACTTGGAGTGTTTGATTGCTATTTTTTTCCTTGGAAAACATTTTCTAACTTTTGAAAATATGTCTAATTTTCCTTGTTTTTAAGGAAAATATTTTCCTTGGGTAGAGGTGATTTTTATTTTTCACAAAAGATGGAAAATATTTTCTTTTCTAGGTAATATTTTCCATGTCAATCAAACACACTCTAAGTTAAAAAAAAATAATAATAAATTGAGTTACCTGACTAGAAATTGAGACACAGATAAAAAAAAAAAAAAATATTTCTGAACTAAAAATTTAAGGAAGTCTGACACAAGTTAGAATAAAACAACACATATACCAATAAAATATAACAAATAATTACTGAAAAATAAGAAAAATGGATTGACCCGGAATTCTTGAAAATTGTTAGTAGAAAGAAAATAAATGGTGTGAATATGAATTAAATTCTAATATGGAGGTATCTTTTAATGGTATATGTTGATCTTTACTTGGCTTAGAAAAATTTAAATTAATTTATTTTCAGATTTTCCTTAAACGGTTTGCAAACGTTGAAATCTAACCAAAACCATTTGAAAGCGATTTTTTAAGATTTAAAATCAAAACGTCGACGGTTCCTCATGAACCCAAACCAACGATTTCAAAAAAATGGATTTCAATTGATTTTAAATTTTAACGATTTCGTTGTTCAGCCCTACTTTTTACCAAGAAAATGGTTCAGACATTTCAATATGTATGGGTCAATAGCAAATAAAGGAGTATTCTCAACTCTCTCTGCTATTTTTTTTTTTTGA